CATGACAATGCTTTATGAAGATATCCTGAAACTATTATGTTTAATTAGTTATAGTGTTGATTGAAGATTGGCCAGTGGAAAAATAGGCATTGTTGCTTCAGGTGATTCAAAATTATCAGAAATTTATAACGTTAAAGAATCCGAGACGCCTAATTTAATTATAAATTTCAATTTAGAAATATTTGTTTAGTGTTAATTCTAGTAGGCTACGGAGTTTAAATTTTAAAAGTTTGTTCAACCAACAACTACCTGAGGATTTAGTAATTTTACTAGTGCAGTTGATGGTACCGAAATTTTTAATCTTATTATCTAAATTATGTTTGCATTTTAGACTGCTAATATGATAAACCAATCCATAAATCCAAATACGATTAGCAACAACGACTATGATGGGTTTATTAATAAATGTTAGAGGCGATCCAGATGATTTCTAAATTTAGAAGACATGGAGATATAGTGTAACGTATGTATGAACCAGGTTAACATGCAGGTTGTTGACGTATATGACGATTTAAAAATAATGAACATGACCAGACAAGTAATTTTAAAGTTTAGACTGCTTGTGAAACTTCAGGCAGGAATATGACGCGTTATAAACATTCCATAAGAAGTTACTGAATTTAGCCTAGGGACACTTACAAATATATGGCAAAAGCAGCTAGTAAACATATACATGTTAAGTACGAAAAATCATTAAGTGAAATAGTTGAACTCGCCTGGATTATTTTTGAAAATTAGATTATTCAGTGGACGACATATGATGAGTAATGATCCAAAAGTATCCACAATAAAACATGCAGTATGGCAATTAATTCCAGGGTGCTTGATGCTGTTGCCACTCGCTCAGATCAAAACAATCGAATGAATCCAGATAATTGTGTCAGCCATTGAACGAGCCATCTAAAATGACCTTATGATTGCAGGAAACTTATGGCTGAAACTCACCGTATGTTTTTAGAGAAGTGTCATCCTTGTTGTTTGGCAATGGAACTCGGGAATATGAAGTTAGGCAGGCAGTGGTCGGAAGAAAAGATTTTACAGGATAGTGCATAGTTTAAAACAGGATGAGGTGTTAAGCGAAGGAACACTAAGAATTAGATCCAGATAACTATTCAATCCTTGACTGCATTGTTAGCTAATGTATATTTACGCTATTTACAGGTCATATTTGCTAGATCTTGATGTTTAAACAAGTCTATGTCGCTGAAGCATGTAAATGCTATTAAAGCTTGTAAACGAACCATCAAGGCTAATTAGTTAATTTAGACGACCAGTTTTTATTATCGATTGACCTAATACGTTATGAGAAGTAATCAGTATAACATTACGATAATACACGTGATCATTAATCAGAGGACTATTAGAATAATGGGTTTACACAAATAAAAATCGATTGAGAAGGTTAAGGTGGATATAAGGATTAACAATAATAGGTTGCGTTTCTTTAGTTGGGCTCACCAATGTAGAACTTATGGTCTACTATGATATTAGTACTGCTCTAATAATAGACCTAATCCTAAATTTGTAGATTTGTCATGATATGACTGCCTAATCTATAAGATCTTACGTGGAAGTCACACCATCGACTACACCAACTCACTGTATCGTATCAATTACCAATACATGATGTAGAACAAGGTTAGGCTAGAGAAAGAACAATATATTTAATATGAAAAGAAGATATAAGGTAACATTCAGCAGAGACCACGCCTGCATGGCCGAGCCATGCCGTTCGATCAACTCTAGTCTATTCAATTCATTATTCGCGCCTTTTCCATCGTTAGGTATTTCTTCATGTTAAATATTGAATATCTATTTTCCGAGTAATCTCGTATTCAGCTTTGAGGATTGTGTGGTTATGGTCCAATGCCACTACAAATGCAGTAGTAAGGAACAATGAGTTGTGATATTCATCAAGGTGGAGTAAGTTCAAATGAAGGGAGGGAATTCAGGGTTGTAATAAGGACGGCTGTTTATTAGGACAGAAAGTGTATATACAGAACAAAGTGTTAAGAAAACTAACAACTTTGTCTTTTATTGTCTGATTTTTTTCATCCGATGTCTGCCACACAGTATTATTATAAATGGCCGAGTTAGCATGTCATAGGTTGCCTTTGTAGAATAGCTAAATCAGCATAAAATTGGGAACATGTGTCTAAATTGTGAGCATAGGAGAACAACCTCAATGTCACAGATTGGTTGACTTGTTCTCAATCACAAAGAGCCTGATACAAACAAAATAATCTGCCACGCAAACACAGGTGGATTGAATTCATCGCCCTCACCATCAATGCTTGCTGGTTAGTAACTCCAATCTCCCTCTTTTTATTATGTTAGGCTCATTTAAGCTTATTTTTGGATAAATGTCATACCTCACACAATCCTCTGTGTTTCACATCCTGTTGGAAAACACTATTTCTATAAGTACCATTTTGTAAGCTTATCCGGCAGTTACAAGTTATGGACTCTGGGTAAGGTATCGATGTAGTGCTTTAATTGACTGTTGTATAAAGTATAGCTTGTCAATTGAAGTATAAGCATTAAGAAAAGTATAATGTAGGATAGTTGTTTATAAAAGCAGGTGGAAATGTATAGAAGTATGTGAGTTGTAGAAAAGGTAACTAGTGGGGAAATAATAATAATTACTGGAGAGTAAACAGCTGATAAAAAACAAACAAGAAGGCACATGCATTAACTTGGTGTAGAAATAATTTTGTGCTATCCTAATTGGCGTCAGGTCAAGCGACACAATATCACACAATAAACTCACATAAAATCCTTGTCCTCCTTCAGACTGTCGGCTCGAAAATTCATTATCTTTAATTGTGCCTAAAGCCACAAATGTTTTACCTCCCAAATCTCAGGGTTTTTTTTCTTGTTTAATCACAGTATGATGATTGGAAGTGAGTATTATCTGATTTTAGCATAATATATATCTCTATCATGTGTTCAAAGCTTTTCCAAACAAACGAACTTCGGATTACTCCGATTGTTCCAGACTGAAGAAACTTTGTGGCACTAAAAATACAACGAAACGGAGCTGTTCTGTTATGTATGCAAGTTAGGTTACGTCGGCTGATAAGTTCATGGCTTCTTGCAACAAACACAAATAGGTATAATTCCTGTTTTGTTCCTCCTAAACGTGACGAGGAAAACACTGATTTGTATTAAGTGAGATGTTCGACGTTTAACACATCGTAGTTAACCTCAATACCTACGTGACCAAACAACCGTCAAGCTTTCTTAGAAAACGTTCGGCGGATGTTATCACGAGAATTTTTCATGGCTTGTAGACTGCTCTTTTCTAAATATGTCACAAGAAAACGGTGTCTTTCTTGAGTTAAAAGGATATGATGTAGCATATTCCACCTATGTATCATTGAATGAATACTGATTACATCGTGATTAGCGTCGAAGTTTTGTTATTTAACGCTTTGATAATAAGGATTGAGACGAAATATACACTATTAGCTTCAGCATCAAAGTCAATAATCCCTCAAAATCACCTCGAGAGTAGAGAATGTGATCGTCAGATAACGTATGAATTTCAGTGTAAGCAGATCACTTCTGGATGCTAATGAAGTACTTCTATTAACCACGATAGGCTTAAACTTTGTGATAGTTCAACCGTTTATCGATCGTAATATTCTTAAGCTAACGATACTTCGTAGGAAACTTGTATTTCTCTGAAGATAATAAGACTGTCGTTGGTGGAAGGGTTTGGGTACTTACGGCACTAGTTAGATTGTTAATATTTCGTATGATAGCAAGTTGCGTATTGTTTTGTCTATTGAATACTTCTACTCGAGAAGTAATTTATCTGTTAACTCGTGCTGTACATTATTGGTCATGCCAGTAAAAATGGCTTGTACCAACAATATTGAAGATTTATGTAAATATTATCATTTGAGTGAGCCAACAGGTCAGTATTAAAACGTATAATTTGAAGTAACAACGTTATATAGTAAACAAAAGAGCAGTTGAGAAGAAAGTTTTAGAAAGATCAACAAGTAGCGCTTCTCATGACCCTGAATGGTGCTCAAAAGTTTCGCAAGCTTTTGTGTTGTTAATCTCCTCATGTGAAAGTGAGATTAAGCCTTTTTTATATTCTGGGAACAGTTTACACAAAAAAGGAATGTTTTAAGCGCGCGATAAAACTGAAATTCATTTATTGCTGTAGGTTTTAACCGTCTATTATTAGACATGGTTGTGAAATGATGATCGGCTATTTCAAATTATCACAAGCTTTTGACAATCGAACATAGTCCATGAGGTTAGTATTCGCTGTTTCATCAGCCGATAAAATTCCCTGTGTGAAAGAATACTTTGAGTCCTGAGAGTAAATATTTTGAAAACAAAATTGTACTTCAAATTGTAGAAGCTATGTTTGAGAGTTAAGTTGACCTAGTATGGACGGAGTAATTGAATTCGATGCTTCTAATTCAGCTGAATCACAAGCCTGATGTTGTACATAAGTCTTGTTGTAGTGTTTTTTGTTTTGATTTATCCACAATGAAATGTCCATAAAAAAGCTGCTAAAGTAATAACCGCCAAACTGTCTGTTCATGAACTCAGAATGACCGATTTAGGGCTTATAAATCTAAAGTGCCACGTGTGTTGGTTAGCATCTGTTTTGAAGGCACTTTGGATGCTCGGGAGTGCGTGCAGAGTATGAAATTTGTAAAGAAGAATAGATAATATTCTTTTCCTTACTTGAAGCCGGCAAAGAGAAGAGAAATATTAGTTTAACGGCGTTTCTAGAGTTTCTAGAAAGAGCAAAAGCATTTTACTACACGGTCAAATATATGGAATAAATATACATGTCATTATAAAGTTACTGGACCGATCACAATATCATTCTTTCCTTCTCGTAATATGCAATAAAGTGCGTTTGTAAATGTGTATGTAATAAAATGTATCTATTGGCTCTAGGTTGAACCGCTCCAGGATTTAACCTTGAGTGTGTTTAATTGATTAAGTTTTCACGATTTCACAGTGTAATGAAAAAGCGCTGTTTTCGAGACTTCGGATGTTTGCGGTCGTCTGATAATGTAGGTACCAGTATTTTATTTCTAAATTTTTCACATATCGGCCGTAACGTCCGACTTAGGACATTTATGTTCACTTCATTTTGTCATCGGAATTTGACGCTTATGATAAATAGTAACGCTATCTTAATCAAATAGAACTGCTTTATTTTAACGATTTCTCATAAATGTGGAGAGAACATATAAGTATTACACTTATGCGCTGCTATGGTATGCGGCTATTTTTTGAAAAATTCGGGTTTGCGATCATTGATTTTGACTGCATAAAATAAACCATCTGTCATATGATATATATGTATATATATCATATTATAGCTGGCAGCTTGGAATATATATATATATATATATATATATATATATATATATATATATATATATAATAGTCTATCCTATCATATGATGGGATAACGTATTAAATCATATTAGAACTTCTCTTGTTGAAACTAAAGTGTTTTTGTTAAGCATTTCATGCACAAGAACTCATTATCCTGATCAAACATTAGTTTTCTTTAGTTAATCTGAAGTTCATGATGTCACAGACATTTAAGGCTCGATAGCGTTGTTCTTCACGTTTTTACAACTCAGGATCTCAATCGCGAACGAGAAGTCAGTAAGGAAGCAGTTTAAGAGTATAGTTTGAAGACAGTCGAAGAATCGAGAAATGTGTGATCAAAGTGGACTAGTAATTGTCAGGGACAAGAAGCAGTCCATAATCCGTGGTGATCTGGAGAGAATATATGACCACGTCCTTTTAGCTGGGGTGTGTCCATTAAAACTAAAAAGGTCAGCATCAATCTTAGAGACTTACAGGATTATTTAGTTTTGGGATCTATTTACCTATATGATTATTCAGTGTTTAACATAAATGTTAATCTCTTAGTTTAAATTCCCACAGTATGTCCAACATTAAACACAAAATTTGAGTTCTATTTGGCTATGTTAACTGGTTAAAAATCATCAAGGACTATCTCGGATTGCATTCTTAGATTTTTTTAGACTTGAGAAAATGGTGAAACAATAAACAGCCAACTAGTTGACGGTTGTGGCTTGACATTTAGGAACTTCACAAGTGGCTGAATAAAGTCAGCAGGACAAAATAATAGGAAATACAAAAGAAATATTAGGAATGAATTCAAAATAAACCCAAGTTTATTTCACATAAACGAAAACATGTAGAATCACTATTTTTCCCTTATTGGAGTAAAATTCAGTCATCAAACATCATTGATAATAGTCTCTTAATAAATCATGAAACAGTTTCATGGGAAAGAAATTCTTACGCACATTTCACCTAACATCTTAAAAATATTTTAAAACCATAGAATTTATGAAAGACTTACGAAATATGAAATCTTATGATAATAGATGCTTTATAGAGGGGAATGGTTTGTAATTAGCAACAATGAACAAGTCACTGTTGGTTGCGATTCCGGAATACTTTTCAAAGTTGTCCCCTTTCTTCATGTAGCGCAAACTACTGTTAACATTCCGTTATTTTGCGGACTATTGTTCCTGTGATTATGTTTAGCGTTATAAACGGGAAAAGTTGCCTTGGATATGTTTAGTGTAATCGTATGAAAGACAACTGATTAAGTAAGCACGGTGAAAGTTCTTTATTTTGTGAGAACAGAAACAACAAACAACCAACTTATTTTAATTAACCATTGTTTTTAAAATGATGTGCGAAAGCGTTCTGATTCTGATTATGTTGAACAGTAAGGTACAATGTCAACAAAACTGAGTGCTGAAATTAATTATCATGTATGTCAAAAATTTGAGCAGATTTCAAAAGTTATGGGCGTTTGAGCCAGGAGCTAAACTGTGTTGTCTGACTCAGTTTATTACGGGTGAATTTTCTAGGCATCTCAGCTTTACAAGAAATACTTTTTAATCTTTATGTTTTTACATTTCTTTGAAATTCTGAAGGGTCCTTAGTTTGCCTTTATTTTAGAAAACAAAAGTAGAAATAGGCCAGGCAGTGTACTACGGTTTTTTTTAACTAACATTAAGATAGCACATTGTCAGAATAATTTTATATTTAAGTTACAACTCATATATTTCATCCAAGGATCTAATCAGTAGTCTCAACAAATATGAAAGATAATGGAAAAATACCGGCTAAAAATTACACATGACTTAATGTCATCACACTGAAACACTCCTACAGTGGTAAAAAGAGGAAATATATGATGTTAATACATAGTGGTGAGTGTATTACTGAGCAATTTACTCTGCAATACTGTGTGGTTGTCTTGAGATCTGATATTATTTTGTCCTTTATTTATAGATATCATTTCATTTTTTATTCATATTTTCCGGTTTAATCTTTCTTACCGTTACTATAGCTACTATTTTTCTGACTCTTGCCACTTATCTTCTTGACTTATGCCAAGTCAATAACCTGACATGATTTGATTTGTGTCAGGTTCCATACTGATTGTGACTGGCTAACTAACACATGCGTCGGGTTTATAAAATATACTTAAGCTTTCTATATGCAAAACAGGGGTCAAAACAAATAAAGGTGATCATAAGCATTAACAAGTTGTTTGATTCAAACTCTTAAGTACCTCTTTATGGAATAAACAGGCAATTATTCTGGGACTCAAAAATTATATGAGAGACATTCATCATATTCATAAGGTTTACCAAACAAGATCAATCGGTTTCTACATCTTAAGTAGTTTTAAAGATTCCTTTACGCGATAAAAGCGTGTGAAATTTCTGAAACTTGGAAATCTTTACAAAGGCTGTTGAAAGGTTTGTCAAATAAAAGTAGACAATTTGTACTTGTTTTTATGATAGCTAACAACAATACCCGAGATATTCCTACTCCAGAGAATTAGGTAATATATTTAACCAGTTAAACAAGTTGTTATTAATTTAAATTGAATTCACCTTGCTAGCGTTACTATCTTTACATGGACGTGCTTTCATAGTACAGTGATAGTACAAACAATTCCAGATTGAGTCATATTCATGTACATAATATGACATAGTAAGTATTATTTCCTCTTCTGACATTTATCAGCTATATTCAGGTTATAAAATGTACCAACACTTAGCTTTATAACAAGAACCTACTATAATGAATAAAGCTTACTTTGATTTCACCATCAATATAAGTCAATTTTCCTGAAATCGAGTAATTCAAGTTGAGTTCCATTTATTGTAAAATTCAAATAGGTGTTTATAAAGTCTAGATATTTAGAGATAAATTTTCAAAGCCGAGTTGTCGCCTTTAATTTTACGTATAAGTTGTTTAAAGTTTTATTAAAAGCTATGAGACTAATTGTTATAATTTTGTTAACTGTTATGAGTAAAACTTACGAAATAAGTTGGACGTTTGAATAAAATGCGTCCAATCATGAAATATCATGGTTACACATGGAATGCAAAACTTGGCTAGGTGTTTCACATGTAATCGATGGTGAAAGGTACATTGTGTGAAGCCGAGTATTTGTAAAGTACATAAGTATGTTGAATAAGATGTAATGTAATCAGTTACTTTGGCTGGCTCACAATGCGCAAGCGTCTTACCTTAAGAATAAAAAAGCCTGGTAACTGACGAGCCACTTTTATCGACTTTTCACCAATAGATTGAATAATATAATGGTTTTGTATTGCTTCTAACCATAAATTCATTTTTCGTCTCCACTACAAGCAGAAAAGTCCTTAAGGTAATTTTTGTTATAGTATCACATTATGTCCATCTGGCAAAGGATTAACATTTTAGCAATAAATCTTAGATTAAAATATAAGCCATATATTTTTGATCTATTAAAACCAATAAATTTACAGTTTCTTGTTGATTTACAGTTTAAGTAGGGTAACCTAGTACCAGATGAAAACACTGTTTACTACTCCGTTGTGTTAAGTAGCTGTTTAAAATAATTTCGGTTTACGATGTAAATAATCTCTCCAACTACAGTCGAGATTTTTCAATAGCACAGTTAGTTACGGGGTAAGAAGTGACCACATAATTTTCTTGTGATTCAAAGACCATGATTGTAAATATTGATAGCTACAATATATCTCTCGATAATCTAAATAGACCTTGCTGCTTTTAGGTAACTACTGGTATCCGAAAGAAGTTGGTAATTGTTGGTGACGGAGCCTGTGGAAAAACATGTTTACTCATTGTTTTCAGCAAAGATCAATTCCCAGAAGTTTACGTCCCAACAGTATTTGAAAACTATGTGGCTGATATTGAGGTTGATAATAAGCAAATAGAACTAGCTTTGTGGGATACCGCTGGTCAAGAAGATTATAATCGCCTTCGCCCATTATCATATCCAGACACCGATGTAATTTTGATGTGCTATTCTATTGACAGGTAAGATTATTAGGACGGTTTGATTTTATATTTCGATCACTAGAGTACAATATAACATTGTATTAATTGAATTTATTTTGGTGCGTTATGGACGTTATGTATGGATGTGAACTAATTAAGTTTAGTAGTAGTTCGGTTAAAAACCTAAAATAGGTAATCAAATTATTTGTGCGTGAAATCTTCAAAAAGTATTATTTGGAATTCAGACAAGTAATGAAAACAGTTAAACGTTCATAATAAAAAACCGTGAACATCTACTTCGTTAAATTATGGAAGTTTTGAACTGGGGAATTTTCGATTTTGTGACGCGGGACAGGGATAGGCTCATCTTTCAATGCTAAATCAAATTCACTGAACATTAAAAGATTGTTTGGAAATTTATGAGTATGGTTTAGTATAACATTAAAGCTTTCATCAATTCTAACACACTCAATTTGTAGTGAACAGAACACGGGTGCGGACAATCGAATGTATTCAACATGAAATTACAGGACTTGTTAAGAAAATCGAACAATCATAAAGTAAATGCTTAATTTGCAAAATGTCCACTAATTGTCTCAAAATGACTCAGACTTCATTGTTCTTGCATTTTCATACAAATTACATTTCGTTTCCATTCTCTACTGTTCGGTCCTCTTGTCTCTCTGCTTCCAGACCTTCTGTTGGCGACTAACATCATATACTACTTATGTCAATATAAGTAGCACACACCACAAATTTGACTACAGTTTCAAACTCATATTTATATATAAATGTTTGTTTTACCTGAAATTTTACCATTGCCATGATTGGGTTTGCAAATTTAGGATTTGGTGATCTGTTTGAAAATATTTTTCATATTTCTACATCTAGATTTGACCAAAACTCAAATAATAATAAATCTTATCATGTGTAGATACAATATGCCCGGAAGAGTAAGTCAACTTGATCATATTCACTTCTAGTTGTGCTGCTAGCAACAAAACCTGATGAATATATCCAATTATTTATATATGCTAACGTTTGTATTCAATTAATGAATTAAATAGTGTCATTCTGTAGTGGTAGGAAGAACATGTAGCGACATGGGATTGAAAACATGTTTATTTGACACTTTCATGCCATATACCTAAATCACAGCGTGGAACTATTTTGGTGCACGATTTCTTTGATAGTCAATTTCCAAGTTACTGATTGTTGGGTCCAGTGCGTAAAATATCCTTTTCGGTAAATGTGATAATAATCGGGGCTTAGTTACTTACCTTTATCCATTCTCTTTACCTGATGACTTCAACAATGCCATAAATGGTACGGAAAGTAAGTCTTCAGAAATAAACTTACTAACGTCTTGGTTAAACAATAGAAGAAGTAATGCTTTGAAACCTATGTATTTGTAAATAATTAGCTAGTCAGCAGGGGATATCTCAGTTTAAGCTACTTTTTGTGGTTGTAGTCACTTGGTTACAGGATATAATAGCAGTGCACACTTATGTTACTTTTGACATTAGTTGGAAGAAATGTTTTTTGTTCATTCTTTTTGATCTTGTAACTAGTCCTGACAGTTTATCTAATATCAAAGAGAAATGGATACCGGAAGTTAAACATTTTTGCCCAAACACACCAATTATATTGGTTGGAAACAAGAGTGATCTCAGATATGATGATAAAGTTATCAATGAACTTGCCCGTTTAGGTCAACATCCAGTTACAACTAGCGAAGCAAAGGCAGTGTCTGCTTATATTGGTAGGTTCAATATTATTTAGAAATCGTTTCAGCGTTTATCCAAAGTTTCATTTAGTTGATCAGTAGTCAATACAAGCCTAACTTAGGAACTCCTTAATTCATGATCCACACAGTATAACTAAAAATGTAGATTGACTTATTTTAGTTACAAAAGCGCATATTTATCTTATAAATGGTCCTGTATCTAAAGCGGATTAATTTATCACTCGGGTGTGTTGATAGAAATTTATTACTTCTATTATAAGCATAGATCTAATAGAGTTGTATGTTTTAAATTGCTGCGTAGTTTATCACCCGTAGAGTATACCTTGTTGACAATCACCAGGAGTCCTTAATGATAACTAAAAACAAACTAACTTAATGAACTTCACTCAACAAAGATTTATATAGTTAAATCTTATGTAGTCATTTTAATTGGGTTTAAGTCGACAATCAGTCTGCTAAAGTTTCATTGTACAAGAACATGCTTTTATCATGCTAATGAATATTAAAACCACTTAATAAAATGTATTATAAACTGATTAATTTGTCAATACTTAATGTACCTCCGGACAATTCGGACAGTATGTTAAACTGAGCTGTATTAAAATATACAGTTATTTTGGCTCTGTACTCATGAGATGATTTATTTAATCAACCCGTTTTTTTCAGGTACTGATTTACATACTTAGTTTTGAATCACTTTCTATATGTTAGCATTCATGAGACACTACCTGATTTCCCAAACCGTATTTGGTCGAGTGGCTGGTTTGAACTTGCGATTATATATATATTACTACGTTTGTTCTTACTTCATGCTTTTCACTTTTCGAAATTACTTTTTTCTTTCTTTTTTTAGTTATTTCATCTGTTTTCTATTTTCCTATCATAATTTCGACCTTCGTTCTTTCCGTCTTAGTAATCTCTCCATATTTTTACTAGTATGTCAAGTGTGTTAACTGAAGAGTTCTTGTCTGTGGTGGGTGGAAGGAGATTAAGTCAATGATCACAAAAATAATCAGTGATAATTTTTGTGTTAATCAGTGTTTATGAAAATAAGGTATAATAGGTATCTTATATGCCTAATCACCATTATTTTTAAAGATTGTAATTGATGCGTTTCAGCAAATAGATTCACTAACGTGATACTTTCGAATATGAAGGCTATTTACGCCAAAGTTCTATTAGTCAATAAAGCGTTACCATCTAATAGATGGTTTGTGATATTCAACACTTCCTTATCACTATCTGAACTGCTTCACTCTACGTCTATTTTATATCCTGAAGCTAGAGCTCCTAAAATGTTCTTCCACCTCTTACTTTCCGCTTACGATGTTTACAGATTCCTTAGGAGAAAACCACACAATTAACTTAAAACCATGGAATTATCTGCAACGATAATAGGAAACCGCAAGAATAGGTGGCTGTTCGCATATATTCACAGAAATGCCGATTGTTAATACCTACTTCACTCTATAGGTTCATCAGTCCATCAGTAACTTAGTCATAGATAGCGTTTGGTCTCGTACAAATGTCCATCAAAGTTACCACATATCACATCACTATATCAAAAGAAGACAATAATATAATAAGAAACAGATAAGTAATAACATTAAATATTCTTCGAACTCAAAAGCTGGAAGATGGTTGCGCAATTTTATGAATTTGTTAAATATGTATACTATTGGATGGTGGCTCAATTGTTTGAAGGTTGAGCAATTGACCGTGAAACCGAATGTTCTGGGTTCGATCCCTTGTGGCTTTATTGTGAGTAAACACTGTTAATAAGTTCCATACTGGGATGAAATAGGTGTTCAGTGCTTCCTGGTTCTCAAGGGTTATTTAACAAAGATCAGCTTGTGACGTCAATCATAAAATTAAAAATCCCCTTAAATCTTTTTAATATTGTTTGAGTAAATTAGAACAATGAGCAATACTACCAGCCAATGTTTATTTTCTATAATTTCTGGGTTTTTTTTTTGCTTCACTTAATTTGTTTTATGTATTCATTTTGACAAATTAGGCGCTTACGGAGAAATTGAATGTTCAGCGAAAACTAAAGAAAATGTACGTCAAGTATTTGAATTAGCCTCTAGAGCATGTTTAAAAATACAGAAAAAACATAAAAGTTATAAATTATTTTGAACTTTACTCTTCTTCATTTGTTTTCTATTTTCGATAGATAATTTAATAATATTATTTATCTAATATTAACTTGTTTATTTCTGGCTAGTATTATTAAACTGTGTTTCTTTCACTTTGAAACGATGGATAAATGACTGAACACAAGAAAAAGCGGTTGACATCCTTTTCACATTCCTACTTTTCATCTCCAGTTGATCTTATTCCGCTGATACTGCTGTAACTATTACCGTTCATTCTAGGGTGTTACTTCTTTTTGTAGTGTTGTTTTTTATGCGGTATTATTATTATTATTATGTGTACTTTATTTATTCTATTTAAAGAAAATTGATCTTTCTTTTCAATCAACAACTAATGTCAATATGGGTATGTATCTCTGTGTGTGTGAGTTTGCATTACCCATTTAATATTAATCATTTGTATATCTCATTCCAAAGCTTATTGTTCTTTAGAATGAACAATTATTTGTACAATGAATTATTTTTGATTGTTCATTGCATATGCATCCATTGTGCACACGTGTGTGTGTGTTTATTTTAAATTCCTAAATAAAAAAAGTGTCTTATATCGGATTTCTTAAAAAGTTATTTACTTTTTCTGCCGAAAATGACTATTTGTTTATGATTTGTAACTAAAATAAAATAAGTGAAGAGAGAGAGTGGTTCAAAGTATGAGAATTGAATTGGTTTTCTAATGATCTGGTACAATTGATAAAGTGTTGGGTTATTTTGATGAAGTTTTGTTCTCTGAGCTGGATGGTCTAGTCGTAGAGCTTTCATCTTTCTTCTGAAAGACATCATCAGCACAAACTTCAAGTAGAAGTTGTGTTGAGTTATGCTTATATGACTTTTGAATAAAGAAAAAATTTCAGTAAATAAACACTTTTAATATTGATTCTGAAGAAGTCTTATTTAAACTTATTGATATTTCGTATTCATTAAACATTTGTAGTTCCTTATTATGAACTAACCGATTAGAATAAGTGTATATTGATAAACTTTGTCAAGAACAATATCAGCATGATAATAGCTATCATTTTATGACGTAATTGTAATCGTTTATCTTATTCGATCACACGTTTCTGTGGTTACTTTAAATTTTCTATCTTGAAACAGTGAAATTTTCGAGATATTAAAGTTGTACGTGATTAAACATACTATAAAACGATTTATTCTTAATACTTATTTTCATGTCTTTTGTTTGGGGGTTATGATTAACTTATTGTAATTTATTTGTATTAAATAGTTTAATGTAAATTGTTAAAACTATTGAAGATATACACAATCTTTAGAAATATTTGTTGATCATTCTTTAACATTATGGAGATTTTCTACATCTTTACAATAACTCTTTGTATTCGTCAAAACGATTATGTTACAATTCTTTAAAACAATAATCTATGGTTTCTTCGTTATAATTTAGCATTGTGACTAATAGAAATAATTCAGCACACCCATGTGATGGCTGAATTTAAAGAACTAACCTTCTTTATACAACAATTTATTTGGTACACCAGATATTGTGCCTGAATATTATATAGATTACAAGTAAGCACTATTCATAATTCATTACACTATCTTCTTAATTAAGTCACCTTTTCCTAATCCTCAATAAAGTTTAGTCAACTAAGATAAGATAGTGATTAATTATAAATACAGTACACCAGGCAAAATTGCCATGATCGAGAGATGGTGTGTTTGTTTCCAGATTTAATCATCATCGCTGTTTACAAAAGTTTATTGTTTAAATATTTTCATAAACAAAAAACAGCAGGCCATTCTCCTCTTTACTCATGAATATTGCTCCTTAGATTTGAATTTATCATGATCAAAATATGTGCTTCTGATATGATCTATATTTATTTGTTGTTTAAATGAACATGGAAATATTTTCAAATAAAGATTATGTATAGCATTCAAAAGTGAGTTAATTTGAATAGGCGCTAATTACGAATTATCACTGACTAGGAACTCCTTCGTTTGAAAATGCCCTTAATTTGTCATAAGAATTTGTTTTAATATCTGTTACCTTAGCGTCAAGTTTGAGAATGCATCATTAGTTCCGACCATTTGTACTGAGTCACTAAGTCTTAGCACTATAGTTATTTCAGAATTCTCATTAGGTTCACTGATCTCTGCACAATACTTGTCATACATTTACTGATCAAATGTGGACAATGAAAGACAATCTTAATGTTAAACATTTCTCACCAAAGTTTACTTAGTTAACACGGACGAGATATTCTTTTGATCTAAACAATGATCTATGGTAAATAATAGGTGTAAAATGAAGTTTAAATAAAACTAGCTCACACAGTTAATTTTTCATAAAGAATAATTGAATAACTATTTAATAATAATAAAAACGTTCTTGATTAAACAGAACTAAATTAAATATTGGATATTGACAGTTTGAATTATATAGGCATGGAAATAAATTCACTTGTATGGATATTTTGAGCTTCTCTGTTGATGTTGTGAACTGCAGTTGATCACTTTCCCTTGGCATATATGCATTCAATGCGGAATTGTCATTCAGTCACAAGTATTTGACATGCAGTCAGTTGTATGTACTTGCACCATTGTTGATGCTCACACCAGGACTCGAACCTAGTACCTCTCATCCCAAACACCCAACTTGGCTACTAGTCTGAACGGTCATTGGCTTGTGCAACAGCGTAAATTTCAATCCATTTATATTAACTGGTTAAATAGTTCTGTTTAAATTCGTTACAATTAACTGAACGTAAATTGTTAATAATAATTTAAAATGGATAGAAAAAAATCAAGAGAAAAAGCAGTGCAGTAGGGTCAATTAGTAGATAAATTTGAAACCATCTTTCTGTGATCTGTAAACAGCATAGATCATACCGTAACTCAGTTTTTAGTAATGATAACAAGTTATTTTAAAAGTACACTGATTTATAATTTTATTTGCATTTTTGATGTTCATAAAAACAAAAATCATTTATCAAAGTTGGATTGTGGCTAGCAGTGTGACAAAGTTGTTATTAGCGTTACGATGATGTGAAGCATGAATATAGTTGTCAGCGAATTACTGTAGGTAAATCATCTTCAACTATTCTTTTGATTCGAGTTAAAATAAATAGGTCAGAAACTTCCATAAGTATATGATTAGGGTTTATCACTACTAATTTCTTTGGTTACATAAATTATTTGTAGATAGACTCCAGGAAAATGAACCAGTGAATTTACAGTAAAAAATGTCTTCAGTAAACATGGATCCTTTCGTTTACTTCTTGGTTTCTTGTTACTTTCTAGTTAAAATCGGAATAAGGAATGACTCTCTGTCATTCATTCGATGTAAATCTACTTTACTTAGATAAAATATCACAGCTTAACAGACCATTTCTATTCCATTTTTATACTTATGCGATTGCTTATATTTGATAGCTTCCAGTTAAGAGTACTAATCCAAATCCAATCATTTCGATCAATCATATTAACACAACATAATAGCATTCCATTTATGACTTTTGTTGTCAATTATATTCAATATTAAAAGTTCATGTAATGTGTACACTATACTCTTCTATAGATTGTTTTAATTATTTGTTAGTTTAGTAGTAATATGAACTATTTGATTGGTTGATTGAATTACTAATCAATAAAAGTGATCAATATACTTGTGAATATAATGATTGATGAGTGCACCATTTTAGTGGTGAGATATAGTTTTTATTTGTATATTCGTTATATAATAAGCAGTTCTTTGTTTTGTTTTTTTTCATTCTTTCATTTTACTTTATTATTAAGTGCTGATAAATGAGGAAGTGTTCAATAAAGAAGAAAATGCGTGTAGAATACTCGCATTAATTATTGGATCGTGTTTATTGAAAAGAAAAAAAAAGCCTCAAATAATTTTTATTTTTAAAATATCTATGGTAAATTGTGTTGTCTTATGATTTGTTTATTATACAAGTAATTTCCAAGAAGAATTAATACCGGCTGAAGTACTACCTAACTATTTTATCTTGGCTTAGCACTGTAAAACAGTATGCGCACAGAAGTTGACAAAAGGTCGACAAGTCTCATACTATGATGATACAGTTGTTCTTGAAACTCTGAGATTATATGGCTTTGCGAACGACATCAGATTGTAGTTAAAATGAACCCTGCTTAGCATGGAAATACTCATTAAAAAATTGTATTCAATTGTTACAATAAAATCTTAAGGCTTAATGAATAAATACTATGTTCGTTTTGTTGAATGTTAGATAAATGAAGTCTACCACCAGGAAAAGTTGAATCTAAGCTGTATGGAGCCTTTACCACTTAAAACTTTAGCCAATAGCACTACCACTTTTGTGTTCTTTTTCCGTTACAGCTGACCAAACAAAGAAAATTATGATCTCCATAGATTTTTCAATGACATATAATGAGCTTGAAATTAATACCTACAAGAAAAACACATTGAGTGTACAATTCAACATTGAAAGTTTCAATCAATTGGATCATCTAATAAATTAGTAAAGGAGTTTTGCGGAGCATTATGTGCTCATGACCTAACCATTGTAAACCGGAGCCAGGATCTACAGTCTTGTGTGTGGTATTGTGACAGGATAAAGTTTTATTCCCGAACTGTGTAATAATAATATATTCCCTACCTCAATTTTTGCAGCTAAATCCAAAATGTTGGGCCTATTTTTCAGACGTATGATATTCTGGACCAGTCTGACATATTAATTTAATACCTAGTGATAAGTCAGAAATTGGTAAACTCACTCTCTGGGTCATTATTCCACTCTACATTCCAAGGAAGCATATAAACTCCATAGGTTGAAATTTGAAACAATTTTTCGACGGAGGCAGGTATATTGGAACTTATTTGAAACCTTACTCCTTCCACTTAAAATATTGATTGTCGAAATCTTTTAATCATACGCTTCTGTCAATTGTTTTTCTTATTAGATGTAAGTCCGTTCTATATGCTTACCTAGCCATCACCTCACTTTTTCTTTTGCTATTCTCTCTCCCAGAAAT